TTTTTTCCCTCGACTACCTTTCCACTGTAGCTTTTACAAAGCGGAACACAGCAATAAATAACTCCCCTTGGAACTGCTTCATTCTTAATAATCGTTGTCTGTTTTGGCGGCGGAGTACTAAAAAGCTCCGACCTTGCTTCCGCCATATTGAAAATTGGCGCCATGTACTTACCAGAGCCTCGCTTTCACGCGCGGCCACACGTATCCTGGGAAAGGTCTATTGGCAATAACTGCTTGATTTGCAAGATGCTTGGTGGCATGGGTCTAACTGCTAGTAGACTACTACACTGCTCATCCTGCAATTGATTTGAAACCCAATCATGTAATAGATTCCTTACAGTTACTCGAACGTTGGTAACTCTGACTGTGGTAAGCAATGCCATTGATTTGACACTGCTTAAACTGCCACATTCACCCATGCCGGCCTTAAACTGCCACAACCTAGCATTGACAGCTAATAAGAATACAAACTGTTTTATGTGTATTATTTTGTACAATTTTAAAAGATACAGTAATATACCTGTCAACCATGGGGCTGCATTGCTAGTTTTCAGCTAATTTGATATTATTTCATTACTATTTTTTAACTGGTTTTAATTATCATACTACCATTTTATTACTTTATAAAGTAACTATGTTGCAGTGCTACTATTTTTATATAGCTATTTTATTGTTATTTTATAACTATTTTATTGCTACATTCTGACTATTTTATTGCTATTTTATGACTATTTTACTATTCTTTTATTGCTATTTTATTACTACTTTCTGACTATTTTATTACAATTTTATTACTATTTTTATACTATTTTATAAGAATTTTGAACTATTTTTTTACTATTTTGTTCGCTATTTTATCACTATTTTAAATTCTACTATTTTATTACTATTTTATCAGTATTTTATTTATATTTTAAAAGTAACTATTTTATTACTATTTTTGCAGTAATTTATTACTATTTTTAGTTAATATACTGCAGTTGATCCACTATTTTAAATGTATTTTCGACTATTTTTAACCTATTTTATGTATATTTAAAATCTATTTTATTACCAATGTTTCACTTTACTTTATTATTTTATTTCTATTTTGCACTCTATTTTAAATATATTTTATCCTATTTTAAACCTATTTTAATCTGCGCTTCACCGATTCAGAAAAATAAAATCTATTTAAAATAGGCTATTTATTGTTTCAAAAAAACCTATTTATAATAGCTATAAAATACAATTAAAACAGAGTTCTAGGATTTGTATATGTGATAGCAATATGATAGGGTTAAAAATAAAATAGCTTTTCTATAGGAATAAAATAGAAACTAAAATAGGGATAAAATAGGGTTAAAATAGTGTTCATTTTCGTAAGGGAGCTTATACAATGATTTGTATAAATTTGGCTTAGTTTAGCTGCATGCACTTGATATTTCTTTCATCATATTTCCTAAGGTGTTGACACCAAGCGGAGCTCGATCAAACCAGATTTCATCGCTATAGCGGAAAAATTTCTTTTTGGCCTTTGGAAAAGTGCCTCTTCCCCAGGGTTAAGAACTTGAATGAACTTTTTAAGGTACTGAACAGGACAGTGAGTTTCACCGTAGAAAACATTTTAGGGTCCGCCTCGTCTGCCTTATCACTAAGACCGCCAGGATGATTTTTTGTTTTTTCTTGCTCGGCCATTTCAACATACTCAACATTATTTGCATCTGTCTTGAAAATGAAACTGTTCTTTGACAATTTTCTTTGGTTTTCCCTGCCTCTTCGACAGAAATATAGGTTTATGTTAAACCAATTCACTCTTAATAACGATAGAGGGGAGTCGTCTCCAAAAATACCACTCTCGTAACATTTTTGTATGTCCTCAGGCGGGATACTTGAGTGATGCTTCACTTTGGATGAACCACATTCCTTGATTTTCTTTAGCTTCGCATTCAAGGATTTGTTTGCTGTTTTGAAAATGGGATCACTTATGATTGAAAAAGTTTTTCCTACTCTTTCTGAAGTTAAATATCGGTTTATTCCCGCTCTTATACCAACATGTGCTGAACGGCTGTATTCTCTTCCGTCGTCTTGTTTTAGTTCTTGATAAACTTTGTTAGTCGTTCTGCTAGTATTTCTTTGCTTAAATTTTCCAGCTCTTCGAAAGAATATCTTAAGTGCAACCATTCTTCAGTAAAAGGAATGATAAGTATATTTTAAAATGCTGTGAGGACAAGACAAGGAATGCAACAACAAGCAAAAAATTGGACTTTTCGAGCACTTGTTTACACACGGAAAAATGGCGAATAATATAAGTTTTTGCTTGCTTTACTGACCTCTGAAGATGGCAATGCTCCAGCTTGTTTGTCTTTTCGTACTTTTAGGTATTGCATTCTCTATAATCTGATTAATTTCTTAGATATACTATTTAAGGCACGTGTAGGAGTGCTTTATCACATATAAAAGTAATTTTGGCGAAGTAATTTTTAGAATAAACTTTGTCTAAACCGAGAAAATCAAAGCTAAATTTAAGTTTTGCTCCTGAATTAATGAGTTTTTTAAATATATATATATATATATATATATAAATATATATATATATATATATATATATATATATATATATATATATATATATATATATATAATACACATACATATATTTTATTATTATTTTTATACACAAACATATATTATTATTACATATATTATTATACACATACATATATTATTACTTGTGTGGATGTTCTAAAGTTTTTTATACCTCTCAAAAGCTTGGTCATTGTTTCGAAATCAACAGAATAATGACCTATGTCATGAGATTGCTCGGTTGTGGGTTATCAGCAATGGAGTGGTTTAAATTTGTTCTACCATGAACATGCCAAAAGCTTTTGACTACCATAACAAAGCTATAATACGTGCAGTAAAAGATGCTGCAGAAGAAACCATGAATGATGCAGTCCAAGAAATCCACAATTTGATGAAGATAGAATTCTGAAAACATCTGTTTCATGCGATGGTTTGTGACGAAGGAAGTCTCTGCATGGTTGTGTTGCTGTTGCTTCCATGGGAACAGGCAAAGTTCTTTACATTGAACCCTTAAGCAAAGTTTGTAATAAATGCAAGAAGCATGAGGGAATGAATACAACCGAAAATGAACTTTGGAAATGAAACCGTGCGCGGGAGTCCTTAGTCACGTATAGGTGTATCTAGGGTAGATTGCCATCTGGTAAGTGAAGCAAACTATTACAAAACAGAAACCATTAGAATGTGTCGAAAACTGCTTATAGGTCAAAATAATAAGTAAGCAGACAAGAACAAGGAGAAAGAATGGGAACCATGTGCAGCTGACTCTACTCTACGCTTCTCTTCTCAAGAGGCTCTGCTCCATTTTTTCATTGGCCATATTCTATTTTAGAGTGGGTTTCGCACGCCGACGTTAACATTGGAACGAACTATATGATACCACAACTATGTGTTACTATAATTTGAATGAAGAGGTGTTAAAATATGTGATATAAAATATAAGATATCTGCTGCATAAAACATAAAAGTACGACGCGCACCTACAATCTTAGACAAATCTGTTGAGAATTTATATTTTTAACCCCCTTGCCTCGAATCAATGTTTGCATGCAACATTGACATGGGGAAAGGGGTGTCGAGAATCCATGGCAAAGTTTAACCCGATTTAGCGCAATAATTAAATGCTAACAAGTATCGTCTAAGATTGTAGAATGTTAAAAAGCTGTATTGAGCCACCTTTGAACGTGCTTGTTTGTTCAATATTCCTAGGAAATAGCTTTACATATTAGAATTAGTAGACGGACTTTGAAATTCCTACATCCAATAGTACGTCCTTGTCTTCCAACTGTTTACCGAGGAACGTCACTACATTACAAAATTAGTGAAGTGATTTTTATTTTAGTCATCTCAGCAATAATATGTAACAAAAGTCTGACAATGTCGGCAGAAATTAGTACAATGTTAACAGAAATCATGTGCGGGGTGTATAGGAAACAACTAACTAATTGAACAAATTGTATTCTACTCTAAATTCTAAAAGTAGTGACACCAATTATGCGCAATTACAAGCCTCCTGCACTATTGAATTTGCGATTGTTTCCAGTTCGTGAAAATCGGCTTGAAAAACGAGCTTACCCGTGCCTTCGCATGAAGGACTGGCCATTTTTTCAAGGTCAGGAAGAAATTTTTGAACGGCTGATTGACTGCCAAAGCCAATACAGATAATCTTAACACCGTTTTCCTTAAGTAGGTCTGCTTCTTTGATCTGTAAGAATTTGTCACTCGCTGCCCCGTCGGTGTAAAGGATAAGAACATCTGTAACGTTCGCTCTATTACCTTCTTCTTCAGTAAACATCTGAATAAATAAGAAAAATGTTACCACTGGCTATAAATTGGTACGCTTTCTTAAGTGGGGTTGTGATTTGGTTGACTATAATATGCCACAGGCTAAGCAATGCGTTTTTCAGGCTTAGTCTACACGGATTTAAAAAAAAAATAAACAAAATTTAAAAAGCAATTTAAAAATTATAGTTAAAACATCAGTACGAATAGTTTTGATCAAGTAGGTTTCTCCAAGATCTCATTACTTCTTTTCATTTGCAATCTATACTATTAACGTTTTTTCTTTGTATTTTGTGACTCTGTGTGTCGTATCTTTGTTTGTCATCAGACTAGATTAGCCCCATATGGTTATTCCAGATGGCTACACTCTTCGTTATTTATTCTGTAATCAATTGTTATTGTAATTTTAGATATTATTGAGTGTGTATTTTTTTTGTGTAATAAATATTGTATTGTATTGTATTGTATTTTCACTTTCAAAATGTCGAAGAGGGAGACCGCGGTTTTATATTTTAAAAATTGTATCAAAACATAAAAGAAGGAACCATAACACCAGGCGAGCAAGGTCTTCTTGTATTTCCGTGATTTGCGTCTTTACAAACGAAAATGAACATAGCTACAAATTTTTATTATCAGTAACGTTTTCTCGTGAAAAGTGTTAGTATCCATATAAAACACGACTTGTGTGGCGTCAATATTTAAGGTACAAAGACATACTATATACCATTTTAAAACTCAAAGCTTGAAGAATAGCTGAAAATACTTGTTCGCAAGTCTCTGTGAAGTAAATTGTCAGCAGCTGTCAATCATGTTTCGTGTGAGAATATTGGTGGGAGTAGTATAGGGAATGAGGGTTCTAGACCACTTTTTCGGCTCGCAATCTCACCCAACTTCCGGTCAGCGGTTTCCATATTTTTCCCTCAAAAACGCGGGCTCATATTTTTCTAGACCATTTTTCTATTATTTTTGGTATTATTTTTTCTATTATTTTTGGCGTTATTTTTTCTATTATTTTTGGCGTTATTTTTTCTATTATTTTTGGCATTATTTTTTACAAGAATTATTATCATATGCTAGGGCTCATTTTTCTAGACCATTTTTTATCTATTATTTTTCAGAATTATTTTAATCTTTATTATCATATTTAATTATACCCAAGGGCCTAGGCTCTTAGGGTCAAACACATTACTTGAATCATCCTTTTTATTTTGTGTGCTTACTCCAATGTTAATATATTATTTGATACAGAGAAATTTATATCACCAGACTTCCCAGTTCTACTAGAACTCTTACGACAACCACAAATCTTACCTAAGCAGGAGAAGCATGACCTCCACCTTGACATCTTATCTTATGATAAACCACATGTTAACTACCTGACCCCGAATATCGGAGTGACCAGCAAAAGGACATATCCATGCTAGTACCAGTGGGCATTGAGTGTTCAGGTTTAACTATGATACACCAGGCTAGCGTGTTATCTACCAACTCAGCCTGGGCTCCTAAATAGAACATACTATTACCCTTGAAAACGTAGCAGGCTGTACTTCCACCGGTAGTTGTGTAAGTTCCATTAAACCAGGTGTGTGACAGTCTTCTTAAGTCAACCGTGGCAAGAGTGATTTCCTTTTTAACCTGTGTAAATTTTCCATTAGATTGTTTTTCCCAAACGGTAGCCCATAGGATTAAAGCTAGGGGTATATTTAGAACAGTTGAAAAACGTGGGTAGTCTGTTTTTATAGTAATTGACTCAAGGTTCAGGTCTGCCATATTATTAATAGGATCTGTTCTCCATGAAGGTGGAATCTGATCGTGACAGTAAGCGTAGTACCTTGTTGCTGCAACCGAAACACCACGATAACCCCATATCCATTCTGCATGTATATGTCGCCGTATTCTTACATATCTTAAGTCAGCCGTTGCTTGAGTAAGTCCAGTTGAAGGTTTCAGGAAATTATTTTCTACCCACTGTTTGTTAACAGCATCCTTATCATTTACGGGGTCCTTCAAATCGAGAATTCCACTTGAGTCTCCCATGTCTAAATCTCCCTTTACCAATCCACCTCTACTACTCATGAACTCATTAGTTGCCCACTTCTTATTAACAGCTGAACCGTCAGTGGTAGGATCTCCAACTCTTGTTAGCTCATAATCATTGGCATCTAAATTGCTAGCTAAAACACCACTATTACGCTTGAGGAACTGTGAACACCAAGAAGTCATAGAACCATAAGAAACTGCACTAGAACTCCCCGTTGACCCACTATTTAGCCCTGTAATACTATTACCAGACATGTCAATATTTCCGCTCATAGTAAAGCCACTACTACTTACGGAACTCCCACTGACATGATCCGTGACCCATTTCTTTGACACAGCAGAATTATCTGTTTTAGGAGCCCCAATATTTATAATTTCATGTCCACCCATTCGAAGGCTACCTATCATTGCTCTTGAACCGCTAAGTTTGAGTAGGTTATTTGTATAATTCTTAAGATACTGCAGACGCACAAGACTATTTGGAATATTAGGGTCTGAGTTACATGTGGGGGCATTACTAAAATTTACAGTACCACCAACATTCATTGATCCTGTTCCATCTAACCTCAAGAACGTCCCTTCATTTAGATTGAACCAGCTTTTGGTAACAGCGGACTGGGGGGTAGTTGGATCGGCAACATTTTCAACCTTATTTCCGCCCATATCAATATTTCCGGTCATAGTAAATCCGCTACTATTAATGGAACTTCCACTAACATGATCGGTGACCCATTTCTTGGAAACAGCAGAATTATCAGTTGTAGGAGCACCTAACTTTA